TCAGTAGTGACCTTGTTCTCAAGTAATTCACTAGTTTTTCATAAATCAATCGATGTTGGAAGATACTTTTCATTGGATTCCAAATCGATGATCAGTTTATTACTTTTATTACAGTTAGAATGTATTATGTTCAATTCTAGGAGTATATATTGATAATAGGTGTTAACTGCCAATGAATTTGAAGACTACAATTAAATCTCTCTATATTATCACCTAGTTTTTTTTTAATGATTCTCTGACTGACAATATCACTATAGGTGTATAAGAAAAGATAAACTACCTCTGTGTAAACGGAATCGTAGTCAATATCTGCTACGAAAGGAGTAATATGGTTTATTGAGTCAGCTATTAACTTTTTACCAATATGTTACTAGTTAGAACATCACTCTATCTATTTTAATTCGGTTAACCATGTAGTAACACTAGCTCCCTATCTCACTCTCGATCTCAGAGCCCCGGTAAACAGATTACTCTATAGGCATAAATATTTAATCAAATAATTGGTATGTTAGATAACTATGCATCAAAAGTATCATGATTCTGGTAGAAACATGATAGAAACTCTTATAAGAAATAATATCATAGTTTCAGGACTAAGATATTGTTAACTGAAATTTATATTAAACAAAATTCAACAATGAAAACAAGTATATCCTAAAATAATCTTAACTTGAGATTTTTACACAAGTACAAATGTAGTTCAGTTAGAAAGAGTGCAGTATTTCTCAATAAGATATTAACTAACTACATAACAACATCCTATATTCTTACAAAAAAACAATCAACAATCAAAACGGAACTAGTTAATTCAATGTAACTAAGGCAAACAGAACAAAGGTATATTTATTTTACTGAACAACTGTTCTGAATAAAGATGAGGTTAATTATTACCAATAGTATTTTTATCCTTGTATCTGGGACTTGTATATGCTCAAAGCTAATAAGTCTTAAGATTTGCTAAGAAAAGATCAGAATTTGAGATTGTGGAGAAAATTTGTAGGTCAAGTGGATGGTTGTGGTGGAGTTTCGTGCCCTCTGGGATGGATGTTTTGTTTGTGAAGCTTCCATCGTTCTTCTTAACAGCATCATCAGCACAAACTTCAGTTCTGTTAACCTTGATCAAGATCGAGGTTAGATATCAGGTTATCGGTTTTTTTTATCATAGCATTTTAGTTTTTCAAAGGACATTTTCTTAATCCATATTTCTTTAGTAATATTCATTGTTGCCTGATTGATCGTTATTGCCTTTAGTTTGCTTTGTTATGTTTTCTTCCTCTGTTCGGAAAAGAAAGCTATCTTGGAAGTTCTTTTTTCTCTTACTACGTCATTTTGGTAAGGCAAATTATTAAAGTTGAAGTGCTCAGTTTATCTGAGTTCTTATCCTACTGTTGTAGCAGAGGAATAATCGTTCGTAAATAGAATTTACCGTAAGCTAAATAAGAACCCCATCGTGCTTGTAAGATACGACAAGATTGAAATGAAATACTTATTCAACATTAGCAAAGATGGAGAGTGGTTAGCGGTGGAATTTACCTCTTCTTATTATAAAGCCTGTCATCTAAAGACAATATCGAGACAATCCGCACAGGATGGATATATGCTACGGGGACTGACTGGACAACTTCAGTCCTAAACATTAATGAAAATATTCAAAAAACTAATGTAAATAAATCTTTTCAGCCTTGTTCTTTAGTTCTTGATAAAATCATACTCAAAGTACACATAATTTTTTTAAAATCAATCAAACAAATTCACTTATATTGGTTATTTGAATCTTCCCATCAATGTTTAGGCCTGCAATTAATGTCATTTTGGCATGTGTATCCTGTGAGGATTGCCTTGATGTTGACGCTAAGTCACAGTACATCTAAGCTAACAATCAAACGAATATTTATGTCGATAGAAAATATTATTATTAACTTATCATAACAATGCCTACTCATTACAGATTGAATGCAATGAAATCGTTTATGAATAATGTTCACCACTTGTAGAAAGATATTGAGTCATTGTGAAGTTCATGTCAAACATACACCGTTTAATGTTAGTCTGTTATAATGATGAGTCATCTGCAACTTTGACAATATTTTAAACACATTAATCAATAATCTAAAAATATACCAAGATGAAAGTACAAAATCATTCTGGTCTACATTGGTTTTAGAAAGGTCACGGATTTATTCAGATTGTATTGATTTTTGTACGTCTGTTTCCTTTTATACAATGTAATCGTTGAAAACTACGAATAGATTTATGTCACAGAAGTTAACAATTTTTCTTCCTTTCGTTGCTCTCTTTTTTTCCGATCAAAAAGTGACCATGATCTATGAACAGTTTTACATAGAGGATTGAATATTTGTTAGATAATCAACAATGCATTTAATGGCTGTTTAATCCTAACATGAGACTCCGCAAAAGTGATCATCTACTATCTCGTTGAAGCTAGAGATGTAAACAATCTGATTCTGCTCTTAGTGACCTGAACCCTTATAGCAAGACCTGAAAGTCTGGGAGTTATGTGCACTATATTGAGATGTTAGGTGGTTAGAGGCAGTAGACAGGAAATCCTACTTTACCTAGGTTTCATATTAGTTGGTACTCATCGATAAGACTTATCAGTAAACTTACCATCTTCGGTTGATGCGTCCTTTTGGGTTCGAATTCGTCACTCAGGTTCATAATCTGAGATGTTACCGCTAAGTTTTTCCGCCCACAACCGAAATCCCATTTATCCGATATATAAAAAGCTGATCGATCACTGAGTAATGACCAATTTCATGTTTGTCTCGTCATCAGTTGTTGTCTAATTCAATCGGGTTCAGCCACTAGTCTAAATGGTTTCAAACCTTATTGTGTACACGGACTTATAATTTCACATGAGAATAGTATTCATTGATACGAAATCAAACGAAATATCAATTTAAAACCCAGTACGATAAACCACTTGTAATAAAAGCTTTCGTCATTTTGGATTTGTGATAACATGATTGTATAATCAACTGTTTCGAGACAGAATTTCCGAAAAACCCATAACTTGACCGACAGTCAATCAATAATTCTTGTCGATAATATTAAAAATGACAGTGTGATCACACTGTATCGGTAGTTAAGTGCAAGTTTTTTAAATCTGTATCTTGAAAATATCTTTTTCATCTCAACATTCAAAACCCTGTCCTGTATGGGTTTGTAAATAGATATCCTTTAGATGACTCTTACTAACGACTTCCTAGTTCCTATCAGGTTCATAATGTTAGCACTTTTAGTAATATATTTGATAAATTATTACTAAATTCTTACCAGATACAGGTTCGTACATTCAGCTTCGGATCCTACTTTAAATGTGAGGATTATTTATACTACCTTGTTACTGAAATTGAATTTGATGGAATGGGCTTCGAACTTTCAAGTTAATAGTTTAAATTCGAATGCTCTGACATCTGAGTCACAAGTCTATTTGGTGTATATTTGATTCAGTCAGAACTGAGATCAAACGAATATTTAACCTTTTGCTACGATTTTATCCATAGGAAAACACACAAACCCCGTTTGTTATTTCATTAATTGCGTAAAGCTTTTTTCTGACAGTTTAAAATTAAAAATCGACTGTATAGAACAAAACTGGGTTTGTAGTTTGACAGTAATTTGTTGAAACACAATTATAAGTTTGGCTGTATTTTTAAATGAAGTAAAATTGCTTCTACTGAGTATGATAATTTCACTCATTTTATAAATGTTTTTTGTTTCTATGAGAATAAAAGATTTTTGTAAAACAACAAATAGATTTTTTATTTCGATTCTTAATTTAAACATTGCAAGTATACATGTCTAAAGTGATATCATAATGATATTCGAATTTTTCATATTGTTTTAAGCCATTAAAATACATGACAGATGAAATCGACGAAATTCATATTTTTTCTCACTGTGTTAAACGCAGTTTCCTTTTCTAACTAATTATAACCTTTTTGTACGTTGGATAGTGGTCAACAATGGAATCTACGACTCAACTGAACTAGCTAGAAAATGCAGTTTAGACCTCTTACATTGAACATGAACTATGAGTCGTAAAACCATTAGGTCATTTTCTTAATTTGTTTCTTTATATGCTGTTGGTATCAAGAAAATTGTTAGTTTGACCGACATAACAATCGGCTTCCTATTAAGTATCTGGTGTTACGGAACGGATGAAAATAAGGAGAATGAGGCACTGAGAAATTTCATGTTTAAAAATTTTATTTCGCTGGTAGAAGCATGAATTACTTTCATCGTTGAGTAGGTTATCGCTTTTCCTTTACTCCATCATTTTTCAATGAACACAGTATATCTGAACAATTTTTCGTCATAATCTACTTGTATGCCCTAGTCCGAACGTAACACATAACTCTTCTCTTCTGAATTACGATTAACTAAAGCAGTTCCACAATAAATGAACCTTTCATATGTAGATCGTCCATAGAACCTATTAAATTCCAATTCTGAAAATTGTACTAAGTATGCTACACTCATGAGGATTATTAAAATTACAAGGAGATTACAAAGAGTGCCAATAAAATATGGTAACCTGGGCTAATGAATGTCAACGTTTAACTGAATTGCTAATCATTTTAAGAAACAAAAATAAAACGAATTTCATAAAATCACATTTTATCTAAATTTAATTCTATATGATGATGATGTCAACTCATGTTGATCGATTATTTATTGAATTCATATATAATGTTTATAGTTTGAAATAAACTTTCTCATCATAACTTATAACATCAAGCTAATTTAGATTTTACTATGATTTAGAAGGTGATAACATCGAATGAAAACATTCATATTTTGCATAATTCATCATCTAATAGGATTTAAATTGAACATTATACTATATGTTGTTCAATTATATTGCCATTTAAAAACTACAATACATATTGTTCAACAATAATAACCATGTAGAATATAAGTGTAGATTTCTCACAAAATTGAATACACGCACTTCACTTATTAGTCCTATCTGGGTCATATTTATCATTATCGGTACATACTAAATAGTAAAATCAATCCAGATCAAGTATACATACATGCATGCACACAATATCACGTATTATTGGTTTCGTTTATGATAAAATGATGCCTGTTGAATCAGTAGATTTAATAACGTACACATACACAGGATAAGAAAACAAAAACACAAATAACATCAAAAACAATAAATTATTGTAATAATCAACGTAATTGTTTCTTTTTTCATAATAATGATTAATCATATTAATTTTTAACAATTAATTGACTAAGACGATCATTTTTTTTATTTATCGATAAAAAAATAGGACAAAATTATAAGCATGCTGTGTATTGTAGCACAACAAAGCTGGCACTATATTTGATAAATGTTTTGTTTTTGATTTTTGCTTTTAAACATAATTTTTATTGATTATTGGAAAAAAAGGTAAGTAAGCATTGAAATTAAAATGAGTAAAAATATGATGGTTTTTCAGAAAGAAAGATATTCCATACATATATATTCATTTGCTCAGTAGCAGCCAACTAACTCATTAAGTATTGAAAATAAAGTAAACATTGGTTTGACATGCATAGCAAAAACTGATTTTTTTAATTCTCTATAATAAAAAAATCAATATGCTTTTGTCCTAATACAAAACAGTTAGAACAAAAACACTGTCGAATAGCTGTATGCATTATAATGATTACAAACTGCTTCGTTGTTTGGGAAGTTAAGATTTTTCTAGTCTCCGGTTATTTCAAATAAGAAAATGCATGAAAATACAAAAATGGGGTATTTAAGTAAGATTATTGTAATGTGAAAAGAAGACCAAAGTCAGTAACAGTGACAGCAACTATGACACGGTTAGCTTATATATATATATATCTATATATATTAGTCAGTCATATTCATTGATCTAACTTACGTTATGATGTCAATTATCATGATGGAACTTATTAAATGTGAAAAGACTTGAATAATGAATAAACATACATACACATGTATGCTTCTGTTTGTTTCTTTTAATGTGTATACAAATAATATTATGACAAAAGATGTGTATCATATTGTGATTAAGCGATAGAAAAATCATTTGTGTTGTTCAAAAATTGGTTATTTAATTCAGACAGGTTTGAATGGTCGAATTCCATTGATGTTTTCATTGTCATGTCTTGTTTTATATCAATAGTATCTTCTTCATTAGTATCACCATCTTTATTATTAAGATTATCATTATTAATTGTTAGCATATTTGTATCAGTGGGATTAATATTGTGATGGCTTTCAAAATTATTCTCATTGAAAACATATTCTTTTGCAGTGTTTAAAACAGATTGAACCAAAGACTGAGCTTCATCTTCGAATTCATGATTTTTTATATTTTTAGAATTTTCTAAATTCCTAGTGATATCATTGTCATCATTCACTGACATTGAATCGAACACATCCTGTTGTTGTAGTAGATTATTTGCATTTATCAAATTAGTGTGTATATTTTCCGAAGTGATTACATCAGTGATATCTGAATTAAGTGAACTATCAGTCTGATTTTCATGGTATGATAATTCAGAATTTTGATGTTGGTCATTATAATCATTTATATAAGTTGAGTTTTGTGAATTTTGTAGTTTATCAACTGATTCTTCAAGTGTAATCATGGTTTCAGTGTCATTTATTTGTTCATGATGAATACCTATATTCAGATCTTCAGTATGTTGTTCAGCGTCAGTATTTTTAGTGGTTTCTTCACCAAACACTAATCCTGAAGTAAAATGTGACTCATTTGACAAGTAATTATATTCCATACCTGGTTCAGCTAACCTGTCCACTGCATCTGTGCGGATTGATCCCTCAATAGACATATCATTATTTACATCATGTTCCATTAGTGAAGTCTTCTCAGTTTGTTCAGCGTGCATGTCTTCATCTAGACCAATAGATTCCGTATTAACTGGAGAAACACTGTGAACCGGATTAAATTCTAAACCTGGTTGAGAATAGCACTTGACTGACTCATCCTGTATTACTTCTTCATCAGTTGGTATCGCATGTTCTACGTTTTCAGAAGATGAGACATTCTCAGTTTGTTCAGTGTTCATGCCTGCATCTAGATCAATAGATTCCGTATTAACTGGAGAATCACTGTGAACCGGATTAAATTCTAAACCTGGTTGAGAATAGCACTTGACTGACTCATCCTGTATTACTTCTTCATCAGTTGGTATCGCATGTTCAATGTTTTCAAAAGATGAGACATTCTCAGTTTGTTCAGTGTTCATGCCTGCATCTAGATCAATAGATTCCGTATTAACTGGAGAAACACTGTGAACCGGATTAAATTCTAAACCTGGTTGAGAATAGCACTTGACTGACTCATCCTGTATTACTTCTTCATCAGTTGGTATCGCATGTTCTACGTTTTCAAAAGATGAGGCATTCCCAGTTTGTTCAGTGTTCATGCCTGCATCTAGATCAATAGATTCCGTATTAACTGGAGAAACACTGTGAACCGGATTAAATTCTAAACCTGGTTGAGAATAGCACTTGACTGACTCATCCTGTATTACCTCTTCATCAGTTGGTATCGCATGTTCAATGTTTTCAGAAGATGAGACATTCTCAGTTTGTTCAATATACATGTCTTCATCTAATTTAATAGGTGGATTATTAGTTGACAAACTTTGTGTTTCATCTGGATTGATTATACTTGCATTGAACTCTTTCTCCATAGTTTCCTCGAATACATTTGTTTGTTCATTAAGTCCTGAAATTACATTATTTGATATATTCGAATTTTCATCAAAATTTATTTTGTTGTTTGTATCAGTAGGTTCTGAAGTAGGAAGTTCTTCATTATTAGATAGATTGTGCAATGCACTAGGTTCAGTTAAACATTCACTTCCCACGACCTGCTCATGGATTAAATCGCATATCAGCGGTGAGGGTTTCATTTCTTCTTTATGGTTGAAATTCTCATTATATAGATTTTCTTCACCTCGTTGTTCAACGGAATTATTTTCAAAATTTAGTCTTTCAGTACTGTCATGTTTTTGGATATTCTGATGCATAAACTCTTCTATCTCTTGTGAGAGAATAGGTACTGTTGGATTTTTTTCTAGTACTATATCTTCTTGAGGTATTTCAGAGTGGAAACTATCTTTTTTGAATAAATCGATTTTATTTTCAAAATGATGCTTAGTATCATCAACTAATTCATTTTGATCTTGAGCAAATTTCTGCTGGTCCACCACTAGATCTGAATCAGGAATTGAGTGGTTTATTGATCCTTGTAGTTGTTGTTTATTAGCTATTAGATCTTCAGTGTGATTGAAATTCGGATTATCATGAGTAAGAGAACTATTTGTTTCTGATACAGTTATAGTTTCATGAGGGTCAATATTTTCCCGATTTGATAAAACACGATCAATTAATAATTCAGCTTCTTCCGTAGAGATCGTCCTCGTTACTTTATCAATGGATGAAGTTTGAATTGGCTGCTTCTCATCTTTACCCGATACTTCACAAAGGGTGGTTTTGCTAGTGCATTTTACATCATATTGTTCCTGTTGTTCACTTGAATGTTGTAAACTATGATCATTTTGATTTGGTTTAACTACAGAGTTAGGATAACTCTTTTCATCATGTTCATTATCAAAAATCTCTTCATGCTTTCTGTCTTCAGGAATTTCTTCGGTTGGTTGCAATCTAGTTCTTGGCGGCATAGTACTTGATCGGTTCACTGTGGTACCACCAACATCAGCTGGTTTTTTATTCGACCTCCAGCTCCAACGTTTACGTATGGAAGTTGAATTTGAAGTTGTTGTAGATTTCTCATCTTTATGTGAATTGAATCGTGACAAAATAGCACCCATGGTATGACTAAATCACACCAGATAGCTTGAACAGGTCCTTCGAAATGAAAATGACTGATTTATAAACTGCTTCAAATCTGGCTAACAAGTGACCAATCAGATTAATAATAAATAATATTTAAGTTACCAATCCGTATTTTAGTTAGTTTTATGGATAACCTTGATTTTTGATTGGTTTAACCGAGACTAGCTGAAATAAATTGTGATATCAAAATTTTCGGACTTAGGCGTGTATTGAGTTATGTGCATTCTTTCAATATAGTGATTGTAAGCCACAGTGCTATCGAGACAAATTTATTAGACTAATAGTGACGGAAATTGACACTTGATAGGAGAATGGTTAACAAGATAATTCACTTGTATATCTGATGAAATTGATGTTTTCTCTACCTTTTACGGAGTTTCGTACATTTATCTGTGTAGTAAATATACCTAGAATTTTCGCGATGATTAGAAATAATTTAAGGTAACTGGAAGTTAAACCAACAAATATTTTAATTATATTTGTTGACGAAGGATAAAGGTCCGGAAGATAAGTTGCATGAATTTGTGAGTCATGTGATGAGTGCAACTGTGTCTTTCCACCTTTACGTAAAACCTTGTCCAGCATGAATCTTCGAATCCATTTAATCGAAAAATATATTCTACTTATTAGATAAATAACGCTGAGGAATTTCAGTGTGTTTAAATATTCAATAGATCTAATGTGTTTAGCATTAGATGCTTGAATCTGTCTCATCTTTTTTGGGACTCTTAAAATGGGTGTAACTGGTTTCCTAGATTGTTGCCTACTCAAGGATTCGAATCCGTTACCTTTCTTTTCAACCACACAATTCGTTTTCATGTGATTTACTGAACCCAGATAAGCATTTCATTGTGTTACTCTATAGATTTTATTTTCGAATCAACTCTGAAAAGCAGGTACATTCAGATGGCAAGTCCTAAATGAGACAAAATGCACATCCTGGATTCCACCGATGATTTTATCTCGTCTGTTCCATGTAAGCTTGTGACAATGACTATGCTGAAACAATTTACATAAGTGCATATATGCCAACTAAGAGTGATAAAATTCAGTCAAAAATATCAGAGACGGAATAATCCAAGTCATTTCAAACCAAATTTAATGTGTTTGAATTTTCACTTAAAGCTTTTTCGAAAATGCTAAACGAAATTTATATGTTTTTTGACTCTAATTAGGTGTTTTTCTATAAAACATAATGGGCAAAACTGATATTTCTTATTCTTTTGGTTTATTTAACTCGAAACATCGTTTGTCTCGGTATTTCGAAACAGAAACTTCTGAAAACAAAGTCTACAATAAAGTTTATGATGAGAAAATGGAATACACAGTGTAGAAATTACACGTTCATTATAACATAGTTTCCCTTTATATCTTAAAAAAGTGAGAAGTAAGTAGCATAATACGAGAATTGATTTTATTACATCCAAATTCTTGTCAGCTACTATTTACAATCTACAATATTTTAAAGGTCAAACTTATTTATAGTAGTTAGCATAAGTAAACAAAAGTTAATTGAATAAGTGAGAATTTCAACTATTTTAAAATAGTTTAAATAGGGAGCTGGTCTTTGATAGACGGCTGTTTTGTCTTAATATGAAACTTCCTAGAGACATGTATCATGCGCAGCCTAATGACTAGTTTCAAGATGTAACGCCTGGAGATCTAGTGAGAGGCCATGATCAATCGAGTTCATTCCGTGTTGGATGTGAAACAGTCATCAATGATAGACAACGAATAAGGATCACTCAGTATCGTGAATCACTTGAAACGAGCCATGTACACTGCTAAATGTCGACTCAGTAGCTTGGGGATTAAGCGCTCAAGAGCGAAAATGAAGGTCATGAGTTTGATTCGCATATGTGACATCACAGGACGAAACGGCGTTCCTATGCTTCCATATTTTCATTTGGTGATTTAAACTATGCTAATTCTACAATCTCCACAACTCCCGATATACTAAAACTTTATAAAAATACAACGTATAATGGACAGACAGTTTGTAGAGATTTTAGATTTACTAAAAGGCTATTTCTGATTAAAACAGAAAATAACTGACGATAAGCGATTATTCAAAGGTATTAAACTGTTGTTTAATTCCTCTATTCATATCCACGACTAACAACGACGTCCTCACATTAGATTTAATACTTAAATATTTCTGGAAATGTGATGACAGAATCTATTTATAGTTACTATTTTTAGTCATTCACTAAAGGGATACTCGTTTGCATGCTCATTCAATTTGTAAGTTTTATTCATTGAGATGTGTTTTTATTCGGTTACACCAACAATTTCCAAGCATTTGAGTTGAAATTTAAAACAAACTTATTTAGAACTGTATTAGGCTTATTGTCGCGAGTACCAAATTATTCAAATATGAGTTAATGAAGTAGATAGAATGAAATTATTATTTATTTTTCAGGTATCTGATAGATTAACAAGTGTAACACAACATACGTGTACGTGTTTGCATCCAGGTCATGATTTGAAAAAAATACAAATAATTACTAAATGTTTTCGACAGATTTATTTTGGATTCCATTAATTAAATCACTAATATATATATATATATATATATATATATATATATATATATATAACAGAATTAATATAAGGTCATAATTCATAATCACATCCTATCATTATCCATATATTAATTGGTAGAAAATAATAATACGTTTACATTTGAAGTACGTCCTATCATTAAGTTCTATATTACTTAAACTACTGACATCGCTACTATGAATTTATATGAATTCAAAGATATGTAATAATAATTATGACCAAATGATTGATTACTCATAGATCTTAAAAATTAACACAAAACTTATAGTAAATTAAGTATAATTAAAGATTGTATAATTCATCAATATAGTAGAATAGCATACTTCCATTGAAAATGTTTAACATATGATTCAAATTCATTGAAAGCCTAATTGATGATTGAATTGATTAAGTTTGTTTGATTATTTAACCAATCAATAGATTTGAGGCTTTACAATAAGGATCATATCAACATTCTCTTGACCCAGTGGTGTTCATACTTAATTTCAATCAATTTGTGATATTGCTCGACCATCAACCAATGCCTATGGTAGATAACCGGGATCGAATTCCATTGATCACGGTTTCTCACTGGAACTTCAAAAAATTCCACTCAAAGCTAACCACTACTAACACTCAATTTGTATACACCAGAAGCAACTTAGACATTCCAAAAGTCAATCAGAAATATATTTTGATGGTTATGATCAACCCAGATTGCTTATAAACAAGTAGCCATATTGAAGAATACAATGATTTAAAATTAATATGAATACTACAATTTCTAACAATTTTATGCTTTATATTTATTATTGACATTGTACATTTGTATTATTGAATAGTTTCAAAGGTAGAATGAAACAATAATTCAGGATGTTTCTTTTTTCTTTAATTTTAATTTTTCATTAATTGCTTAATTAGGTCAATTATTTCTGTAGGCTGTGTTATGTCCGATCATCTGTTTTTTTGGCATTCTTTTATTATTTGTAATAAAGATTTTAACATTGAAATTCATCACTAGAAGATTTAGTAACTATTTGTATTTTTTTTTCATCATATATATATATATATATATATATATATATATATATATATATATATATATATATATCTGATAGACTATACT